TTCCCTACATCTAGTCCTTAAATGGTTGATCAACCCACTGCAGAGAGAGAAGACCAACTCCTGACCAAAACTCTTCCCACACCAATTAACCATCTTCCCTCTGAAAAAATGAAGAATGGGATACTCACTTCAATGCTTCAGCTTCCTTTAATTCACTAAATTAAACAAAATGCAACACAATGCTTCCATTTAGTTTCCATTTTCTCTGATAAAGTTCCATACCAAACACTTCAGAGGAAGGTGTAAAAACATGATAGCAGACAATTATTAAGTATTTTGCCTGTAGGGGAAATTTCTTCCAATCAGATAGTGGCTGTGGTTAGCTTATACCATGCAACATAATTCTCTCTCCCCCCAGTGACACAACTGAGAATTATTTCATAATCCAGACCAGCACCCTCTTCCACAAGAATTCCACAAGTTACTTATGCATTGTGCAAAAAAATAGTTCTGATGATTAGCTTCAAATTTGTTGTTAAAGGTATGTAACACATGGCCTGACTTTGACTCACCACTCTAGCCTGGTGTTTTCCAGACTACTCACCAAATAAATGAAATGGAATAAAACAGATTAAGCCCTTTGGAATAATAGCAGCAGTAGATCTTTTGCACTTTTGTGTATAAATAAGGCATAGAATAGTATTCTGAGTGTTTGGCCAGCTTTGTAGTGGTAGGTTTCTGTTGAATAGCAGACTAGCAAACAGGAAGAGGTATATGAATTACAGAATATAAAAGAAGTTCAGTAGCCTTGAAGAGAGACTTTGTGTATTTGACAAGAGCTAATTAAACAAAATTTAACAATTCAAAGTCCATAAAACCTGGACAGAAGATAGAACAGCTCTAGCCAGTCCTTCCCAACGCAGACTCTGTCAATGTTTAAACAACATCTACAAGTAAAAACTGTGCTGAGACCATAGCTAGAAAGGGCTTAACCATTCATGTGCCTTCTTCACTGGGGATGGCCCACTGCTGGGATCACACTGGCTTTTGTTCCTGGCTGAGGTTCTGTTCACAGGAAACAACCTTTGGGCTGCTTTGTTCAACCCAACCTTAATCAGCCTCCTCCTCTGGTTCCAACAAATCTCTTCAGCTGGGGGTGATCAGAAAAAAAGGCCACTGTACACCATGGAGAGATAGGGCTGCATTCACAGCAAGTCATGATAAGCACTTCCTTTCCAAACATCCCATTCCCCAAACATAACAAACAGTAGCCAGAATACATGTCGAGCAAATTAACAAAACTGGACAAATAAAACAGACGCTTGCAAAGATAAAGGCAGCTGGGGTCAGGAACTGAACATGATGGAAGGCATCCTTCAGCCCCTGCTCCCTCAGCTTCAGACTCAGCATACAGTACAGGGAAGGTTTCAAGCACAGACCCCAAAGGCTACTCACCATACTGACAGCGGGGTCCTTGGAAACCAGAGGGGCACTGACATAGCTGAGCAGATCCTTCCATGCAGTTTCCTCCATTGAAGCAAACGCCATAGCTGCAGACAGCTGCTGGAAGGAAAAAAAAAGTAGGAATTGGGTTGGTCATAGTACATACAGGGTCATGACTCATATGTTTGGTCATACTGAAGACTCTCAAACCTCTTAATAAGTTTAACCAGCACAGAAACTTTACACAACCAATAAACAAAAGGCAGCCCAATGTTGGCTAAAGGCAGCAGATAGCATCCAACAAAAGCCAGGTGTTCAGAATTTCTTATGCAGGGAATATTGATGTCTTGAAAGCTGAAAAACATGCAGGAGTACTGGCACCTGGTCCTGTAAGAAGCATCACAAGCTTGTTCTAAATCTAATCTCATTGAAAGATGATTTTAACCAGTGCCCCAGTTTTCCTCATGACCAACCTGGGGCATGGGTTCCTCAATGAATTAGAGGCAATAATACCATCCACTGAATCATAAGCATTCCTTTCTATAGCATGGGTGAATGGGGTGTTCCTGGGATGTCTCCAGTGTCCACATTGATCGGATTAACCTTCTTTGGTTTATGAAAGAGAATAGGATAGGGGGTGGAGGGAATATGAGCTGTAGTGCTTAGCCCCCACCCCCAAAAACCCTTGGACTAAATTAAAAGTGAATAAAACACATTCTCTATTCTGGGCAAGTCCCACTGCAGGAAAGGATTTCTAAAAAGAAGAAACTTTAGAAGGAAATCTCAAAAGTTTTTCTTACACTCAATTTTTAACCTATTGATGTTCCCCAGCCAGCAGCTCTACATAGAGGGTTTAAAGCTATAAATAAGTATTCAAATGCATTTTCCTGATTTGCTCTCTTGCCAGGAACTCAGCCATCCGAGGTTGTTCTGTCCCTCTCAGGCAAGAATGACTGACATTACCAATGCCAAAGCAGGAGCCAGGCACTCCTTTCATTCTTTAAGCCATACTAGAATGCTAGTGATGTCCATCGTGAGAAAAACATACCACCTTACACTACTCGCTTCCCAACTCAAATTCTCCGTTCTCTTCGAAGTGATTGCAGCCAACAGAGAGGACTAGCACCATCTCCCACGAGAGTACTTGTTCTGTGTTTGAATTTGCAGGGACATCCAGTTTTCCTATTGGAGACCCAGGAGCTTAGAAACAGATAAGCTGAGCTCTGCTTCTCACTCTATCACTGGGCAAGCTACTTCACTGCTCAGCATCTCAGTTTCTCCGGCGCCTTACCTACACTAGAAGGAATGTGCCAATAACAGCTACATTGACAGAGCTATATGGGCAAACCCTTCTGGGGAACAGGCCTTTTGCTGGTATTGTTTGTACTGGTTCCTCAGATTAAATAAACTATGCCAGCAAGGAGATTTTTTGCCCATGTAACTGCCTCTGTGCTAGGACTTTTGCCAGCAAACTATGTGGTGAAGGGGGTGGTATTTTTAATGCTCTTGGCTGACACAACAATAATGGAAAACCTTTTAAGAATGGCCACATCCCCGATTTGTAAAATGAAAATAATAACCCCCACCTAGCTCTCACAGGCTCTGAGAAGCTTAACTCCTTAGCACTTGTAAAGCACTTCAAATAGCTAAATAAAAGATTTTAGGAAAGTGCACAGTGGTATTTTTTAGGCAATATATTCAAGGACCACATTCTGATAGGGCCTGAGTACCCATGAATTGCAGATGCTTCACACCTCTCCCAATCCTGCACTAGGTATGTTCTGTGGAACAAGCAGAAGGTAAGAAATGGATCCTGTGAAATAATTACATAAAACAACTCAGGTGACTGGAATAACCATGGTCAAGAATGTTCTGCTTAAAGTAATAGCTTATCCGAGGTAACTGCACTAAAATACTAAGAATTCAAAGGGGTACATCTAGGAAGGTCCAAAATTTATAAGAGCCAGTTGTTCCCTTGAACTCGGTCCATCTGCATTGTAACAGAAACCATGGCAGGAAACATAGAGTTGCTGACAGCAAGTAGCAATTTCTATCTTTTGTAAACTTCCTGAATTCCATGCATAACAGCAGGGCAGCTGATTTCTGGGATCTTAAAGGCCTCAGTTCATTCTGCAAAGGAGCTTCTGGTCACAGGAGTGAAATGTGCACAGAATACCACAATAGGATTGTTCTGTGGCAAACCCCAACCAAGAACCAGAGCCTGACCCCTACTCACTGCAGGCTGCCCTACAGCACCTCCACCCCAGAGTTAAAAACTCAGCATCCCAGACAAATCCCACCACAGTGAATCACACATAGTCCCAGAAATGCTACGTTCAGTTTTTGTTGGATACAAGTCTTCTTCATTTCCTGTCCTTGAACATTGTTACAGTGTTGATTTACGCAGTTAAACAGTAGGGCTGTGCGAAATTTTGTTGGCTGTTTCAATTCAACGCTATTTCGACTCATTTCGAGCTCGAAACAGTGAAATTGAATCAAAACAAAGGGTGTCAAAACAGACTGAAAACAAAACAAGGCTAGTCGAAACATTTTGAAAGTTTCCAAATGTTTTGAGTTCCGAAACAGCCAGCAGCGAGGTGGTGGGAGACAGCGGAGAACTAGGGCTGCACTCCCAGCAGCAGCCAGGAGCGCAGCTCTGGCTCGCCCCATCTCCTACAGCCGGGTCACAGGGAGCCAATCACAGTGCAGGGGAAGGATCAGGCTGGGGAAAGGAACTGAGCCCGATCGCTCAGTTCCCCTCCCCAGCCCTATGATCGGGCTGGGGAAAGGAAGTCAGCCCAGCTGGGCTGACTTCCCAACCCCTGTGCTAGATAGTTGTGCTGAGTTCATTTCCCCAGCCTGATCACGGGTCTGGGGTTAGGAACTCAGCCCAGCTGGGCTGAGTTTGTTTCCCCAGCCCCATGATCAGGCGAAACGTTGAAACAGCCTCACTGTTTCGATGAAGCAAAACAGTGAGGCTGTTTCGAAACAAAACACTGTTCTGTCCAAACCTCAAAACTGAAGACGAAACGGAACAGTGCCATTTCGCACAGCCCTATTAAACAGCTACCACCTTCCAGCTGTATTACAGTGGTGTGAGAAATTATCCCTAGCTATCTCTTCCCTACCTCATTAAGCCATTATTTGGATTAGTGTGTGGAAGGTGCTGTGAAACTGTCGAATGAAAGGCACAGTAGAAATGCACGGAACTTTTATTTAACTGATTGCACCAAGTGTGTGCCTGGTGCTCTAATGAGATTAAATTAGGTACCTGCCCTCAGGATCATACTCTTTAAGGGTACAAACAGATGTAGAGGTTATTCCAATAATGTTATCTATATACTGTGAATGTTCAAATTATTGGCTGATGCACTAGGAAACTGTTTTATAGCTTGTGATATCCTGAGGCTTAGATCCTGCTTTATGATCACCCGGGAGAAGTAGTCTAAGAGTTTCAGAGCTGCTCTCATACTGTGTTGAGCAGGCACTCCCTGAGGTTTGTCAGGAAAATAGCCCTGTGGTAATTTTACAAAACCATGTAAGTGTGTCAGGACCTTAAGTCTCATTTCCAAGAGTAAGTATGGGCACTTGTACACGCCACGACATTTAATCCTCGTTAATTTAAACTGGTTTATTTTGGTGCTTCGGGTTTGTGTTTGCACAAATTAAGTCCTGTGTGCAATTCTAAGCAATTTCCAGCAGGGGGAGCCACATACCAATCTACCCCCCATGTCCTTCCTAATGAATTACAGCAGGAGGCGCATATTTGCCAGTAAACCAGCTTCCACAGTCGCCACCAGGAAGCCTCATGCTAAGCCCCCACCCCACACCAAGGCGCGGTCACCCCAAAACCCTGCCACTTGCACCCCACTGTGCTCTGTTCAGTCTCCAGTAGGTGACCCTGTGGTGATCCTGACTCCAAGCCGTATGCATCATCCCCTCCCCTCCTCCCATGTTGGAAAGGAATGTAAATGTATATATGGAATTTTTTTTAACTGTATATATCATATCAGAAATTTATGGGCGTGAGAGTAGCAGATGCCACCCCGGGTGACTGGTAATTGTGGCTGCTGGTGGGTGGGTGGTTGGTGTTATATTGCCAAAACAGATGTGTGCCATGAACGCTTATTACAAGATTAACGGTGTCAAAATAGTACAGTGTGTGGGAGGGCAGAGGGGTAGGGGGTGCCAAATCCGACAGCTGTTAGTTTTCCAGGTTTTAGGACTACATTTCCCAGCATTCCCTAGCTCCCTGGGCTTGGAACAGTTTCCATGGGGACCCTTCACAGGGGATGCTTCCCCCGCTCCCCTTCCCTGCCCACGTGACACCGTGAATGCCTGCGGCCTTGTGTGTTTGTTTAGCGCCGCATACGGCTTTGCGAAATGTTGGGGTGTTTGGAAATGTTGAAATGGTGGGGTGTTGGTGGGGTAGGGCCTGAATAGGGTTGGGGTTGAATAGACTTCACTCCCAGCCAACCCCTCCAATCTTTCTGCGTATAATGGTACAGTAAACGGAGACCACTTCTTTACTCTAAAAAACGTTCTTTGCTGTTTCCTATGGAATTTGGGAATAAAGCAGGTGAATACAGCAGAGGCCTCTAGGAGGATTTTGGACCTGTAGGAGGATTTGTAGGACAATTTTGGATTTTGGTCGCCTCCCCCCACCTAGCCAAAAAGAGGTGTAATCAACTCTTTTGCAGGACGTGATTCAGGCTGGCTAGGCAGTATTGTGTAATGAGCCACTGTCGCCCCCCTCCCCCTCAACCAATGCCAACCTCCAAACAATAACCCCCTACCCCAGTGCACCTCCCCACATGCCCTGCTTATCCTCCAAAACACGTCCCCTCCACCCCGCACACCCCTGCTGACAGACACAGATGCTGTAAATAGTAAAATAATTTATTTTCATCAGCGTCCATATCCATATGTGCTGCCAGGCAATCCCACACAAGAAGGGCTACCCAACCAGGTTCTCCATGAGGATATGTCCTCTGTGCCTACGCTGCTGCCTGGCTATGTCTCTGTCTGGCCACTGCCTGCCTTGCTTTGTCAGCCCACTCCTGGCTGAAAACCTTTTTGTGGGCCTTACAGACGTTGTGCATCAGCACACAGGCTGCCAC